ATCTCATCTCTTCTATGGTCTTATGGAGTTGTTTCTTTACTTCCATTGCAATCATTTCAGCTATTTCAGGCATGTGTTTACCAAGTTCTCCTATGTCAATGTCTCTTAGACTTGTTCTGATTGGGGTGGAGTTCTGGGATTGTGTTTCAGTCTTTTGTTTTGACATGTTTGCTACTGGATGCAGAAAGCTCAGTTTCCCTCTTCAGTAGCTGCTCAGCCAAGACCACTAGTGTCCCTATTTTTCCTGTTGTTCAGGTTTGCCCCTGGGTGACCTCTGAGTAGCGCCACTTAGTCTCGGGTTTTCCAGCAGTTTTTGATTTGTATCTAGTTATCCCCGTTCTCAGACACCGGCCGACCTCTGATCCAGCGTCCCCTTGCAGTTCAGGGCATGTGCACGACCTGACTCGGGTTGCACTGGTGTGACAATGCCGGTCCCGTGGACCTATGTCCCCAGGCAATTTAAGGTACAGGCATAAGTCAGACATAAACTGCAGGGTCTACAGTTTGTGAACCACCTGAGTCTATGTCTCCAGTCAGTTCAGGACACATACAGGAACCAGATGCAGCCCCTATGGGTATCAGTCACAGACTTCCCCAGCGTTTGACTCGCTAGGGGGTCTGGGCAAAGGCAAAGCAACAGACTCCAACTGCGGGTCCGGCAGCTCCTGGAGTACTCGCTCACTCGGGGCAGGGTCCACGGGGGCTGGGAGAGTCTACATGCCCCGCCCCAAGCCAGAGAGGTCCCTGGGGTTTCTGAGTGAGGACCTCCTCTCTGCCGCGCGTACAGGGAGGCCAGAGACTCAGTCTGTAAAGGCAGGGTCCTGGTTCGCGCGCTCTGCCCTCAGGGAGCAGATGGGAAATACCTGGCTCTCTCCGCGTGTTTCAGCTGGGAACCGTGGCAGTGTGGGCGAGCACAGAATCGAGCCGAGGGGTCCAGATTCTCCCGGAACACTGGCTCTCTCAGCGCAGTTCGCGCAGGGCTGAGAGTCTGCTTGCCCCGCTCCCAGCCAGAGAAGTCCCTGGGGCTTCTGAGTGAGGACCTCCTCTCTGCCGCGGGTGAGGGAGGGCAGAGACTCAGTCTGCAACGTCGATGGGGTCCTGGTTCACAAGCTCTGCCCTCAGGGAGTAGATGGGAAATACCTGGCTCTCTCTGCGTGCTTCAGCTGGAAACTGTGGCCGTGTAGGCCAAGCACAGACTCGTACCCACAGGTCCAGCAGCTCCTGGAGCACTTGCTCTCAGGCCATAGTGTTCTGACTTCTAAATATTTATATAAAACATGCAGATATTTACCCCAAGTACTTTCAGATTCTACATTAGTGACTCTATTAGAAATATCTTGCATACACAAATATTTTTATGACACATTTGCCAAATAAGTGCATCTAGGCTGGGCATGGTGAGATATGCCTGTAATTCCAGCACTCTGGGAGGTTGAGGCAAGAGGACTGCAAGTCTGAGCCACTTCGGACAACCTATATTCTGAGGCTGTCTAGAAAAAAAAAAAGACAAGAATGTACCCCTGTGTGAAGGCCATTGGTTCAGTCCTTAGAGTCACAAAACAAAAGTTGTAGCTAAGTATTATTCTTTCATTTATTTTGTCAAATTTTAGTACTACAAATTTGCAAGTCGTTAATTTTAATGAAGTCTGGGGCAGAGTAAAATGTGTCCAATGAAATATAAGAATTTGACTTGGAGACTCTTTGCACAAGTCAGTATACGCAAGGCACAGGTCTTCCACTAAGAGGAATGTAAACAGTTTCTGGTGGGTCATGCTCCTGCTACAACACCTTTTTAGAGGCCACACAAATTACAAAAATGTCTTATTTTTAAAGCTATCAGAGATCTGTGGAAGCAGTGGAATACCATGGTCTAAAATTCCAGAGGGGGGTGGGAAATTCCAGAGGGCTAGAACCTTTTTGAGATGAGCTAACAATTACCAGGTAACCCCCACCCCTTTTCCTGGCAATAGGGAAGGGACTGTCTAATTCCAGACATAAGATGAATATTGAGCTTAATTCAAACGGGGAAAGGAAGGCTAATGAAGGGAAGGCTAAGGAATATATTATTGACTTGCAAGTCTAGAGAGAAAATTGGAAACCTGTAGTGGCTTCTAACACATGCAGATTTTTCTCAACAGGACTTTTGGTAGGGCCCACGAGTGCATACAAGGCTGGAGAGCTAGAGACATGAACCATCAAAAGACAAAACTACAACAGATTTAGTGCAAAGATGTAAACTGGCTTTATTTGTGCTTCTAGATTTGAGCACCCTTTGTCTCATAAAATAGAATAAGTGTTTCAGTGATTGGAGCAAAAGAGGCTGGTTTTATAGACAGGAAAGAGCTGAAGAAAGCAGAAACAAAGAACAAAGAGAAGATTTGTTTTCAGCTTTGATTTCAAAATTAATTGTCTTGTGAGTCAGGGGCAGGGTGGCAGAACAATACAAAGATAACTGATGGGTGAGCATAGGGTTACATAGGTAATGTTTTTGGTAAGAATGAAAGCCAAGGGAACTTCATTATTGTAGCAATTGAAACTAGCCTATTAAAGAAATTTGGCTATTATCTCTTTCTCTTGATTTCTCAGGTGATAATTTAGTTTCCATTTGATGATATGGAACTTTAATATAAAGAACTCCACATTTTACTGTTAGTTTGGTCTGTTGGGGTCTAGTGTTTTGGAGCTCAGTCTCAAAGGACGGCCTCCTCTCTTTTTACCTAAGCAGAGAAATCTCAGGCAAAAGTGCTGTGGAAACCTACCATGGTGGTCTCAAGACAGTCGGAGGTTGCTATGGGGGGAAAACAGGTGTCCACGGTTAACCTGCCACTCATTAGAGTCCCCTGACACTCAGGGATTTAAATGCTGCTTTTGGTTTCTTTTTTTTTTTTTTAAAGTGACTTCACTAGGGCCTAAAAGCAAACAAAGCTTGGCCTTCATTTTGTATCTGTCTCTTTTATTACCTTAAAATTGTGGGCCAGATCTTTGCTCCGTTCTACTTACAGGCATGCTTACCATTTAGGGACTATCTAAACACTAGCAATGTAAGGTTGGCTACACTTAAATGTGTATAGCCTATCTCATCCGTCCTCAAGACTGAGGACAGTAAGATAGGAGATTTATGGTGACATTCAACTGTAAAGAGGCATAGAGAAGTCTTTAGTCATTGATTGACAGGGACATTCAGCTACCAATGGGTTCCCTGAACCTATGGCCAGTTTGGATTCTAGCTGAGCCTCCAGAAAACTGAAACTGTGCTAAGCAGAAACACTTATCTTATGGATACTGGGTGGCCCCCTCAAGTGATAGCTACTCCAGGGCAAAGCCAGAATGGAGACAATGATCAAACAGACGCTAGCTCACCGTGGCAGAGGTGTAAGCGCTGACCTGGTTCCCTTGTTAAGGGGTCAGTCTGATCAGCTCCACCAGAGCCATGCCTCCTTTAGTGCCTCAAACTGAAGTCCCTCTCCCATTCTGTCTTACTTCTAATTCTGCCGAATAAATCAGCCTGGACCTCTCACTGACACGTTCTGAAATACTTTTCTGTGACGATACATCAAAAACTTCTCTGGGCCAACTTGAGTTCCCCCCAAGAGGAATTTAGGGTGATTTCCTTGAGCCTCATCTAAGGACAATTTCTCCCTTCATTCATTTGCCAGACTGAAGCTGTGTGGCTGGGATGGTGAATCTTTTAGAGCTTTCAATGATAACACACAGCTGGCTGTGGCATCCGTACCAGAGGTTCACCACCACTGCTGTGTGGGATTCAAAGTTGAAGAGCAGGGCTGGGAAATTCTGAAAGAACGAGCTAGACCTGCCATTGTCTTTCAGATCTGAGGAGTTAGACACCTGAAAATATCTTAATTGAAGACCCGGGGGGCCACACCCCAGGAACCCAGCAAGGCAGAGGTTGGTTAAATCTTATCTGACTGAAATTCAGCCAACCACACCAAATCCTTAATCACATAGAAGCAATCAGCCTCTGATTGCTTCTACCAGGCTACAGAGCTGTACCTTCTACAATGCTTCTACCTTCTACAATGCTATCTACCAGACAGCCTCTGCCTGGTAGACAATAACATAATTTGAAGCCTCTTTAGTTGTTATGTACACAATGCTTAGCATTAAATTGAAGATTACCATACAGACAGCCATGACTGAAAATCAAGAGGGAAAAAGAGGGCTAGTGTAGTAGAGTACTTACTCAGCATACACGAGGCCCTGGGTTCAATTCCCAACATGAGGGGAAAAAAAGAAAAGAAAAGAAAAAAGGACAAAGACATAGAAAGACACATTAAAAAACACATCTACAAATATTATATTAGAATACAAGGATTTTTAAGTAACTATCATTAATATTTTGAAGAAAATAGTAAAAAAGACCTGGGCACGGTGGTACATGCTTGTAATCCTAGCTACTGGGGAAGTTGAGATTTGATTACTCCTTTTTTCCCACTGACTTCAACTTCATTTAGGCTGAGTTCTTCTTTCCAAGACTAATGTACTCATGATTCTTTCTCCCCAAGGTTGGAGGTGAAGAGCTGCTGCGCTATTATTGCAACTAATCGAGGGATCCCAGACAGGTCTTTAGTGGGTGATATGCAGAGTTCTGCTTTTCCACCTCTGCATAGCACAACAAAACGGACTTTCAAATCTTCCCTTGACCTTCTTTTGTCCTTTCTCTGAAGCATTTGCAGACTCCCGCTCAGTCTGATTCACACATAAATATCTGGGGAAATATGATAAAGACAAAGGGGAAATTTGTTTATGGTAAAGAAACTGGGGGTAAAAAGAATGTTTGGAATAGGAACGATGGAACAAATATCTTAAATGTTCAGAGAATTTTAAGATGAGAGGAAGGATTCGATTTCATTTGACTCAGCTCCAAAGGGAAGAACACTAAAGTTGAGGTGAGAGATTGCAGAAGATACAGAATAGTAAAAAAAAAAAAAAAAAAGTATACACACTTCAGGAAAAAAGAAACTATGATTTTTTTTCAACAGATGGAGTTACCCTTGTATGGAGGACCCTAGAGGATGCTATATATTGCAGAAAACCCACTACAGTGCTGGCCTTAAAGAAGAAATTGAAAATGCATGTGCAGCAATCTCGATGGACCAAGGTTACCCCTGCTGTAGTTTGCCATCCTAGTAAAGGTCTGAAAGCTGATGACCGCTGCTTTGAGCACCTCTTGTAATTGTAGAGCCAAAAGTAATTTATGTTAATCTCATGATGTCTCAATAAATTTAGTATTAAGATACTTATACAAGTTTTCCTTTTCTTGAAGTGTCTGTGTACATTTTTTTTTTTGCAGACTGTATACACTGTATTTCCATCCCTGGGTTCTGGCTCATTTCTCCCATTGCCCTGGGTACTTCCTAGGTGACCAGAATAATGTTGGGTTGCTTTAACCCTCAGAATCAGGCCTCAGAGACAAAGTCTTCTGCCTTCTTTTCACCTGCTCCTTTTTCTTTCCAAGGCAGGATATAGAAACTAGCGTATTTATTTCCTAAACTAGGTCATAAAAACTGAAAATACACTCTAATCTTCATGTATCTTGAAGCTGGTGGCTGTAAAGAAATTGACTCACCTACCTTATCCAGTGGTGGACCATAGGAAGCCCATTTCAGAGGGGCCCTGCTCCATACCCAAGAGGAAGGAGCACTGCGCAGAGAGGCCAAGAAGAATCTGAATAGACAGGCTTGTTGGTTTCTCCCTTCAGTGCATCAGCAGCAGAACCTGCTCCTTTTGCCCAATCACATTTCTGCATGATTGGCAAGCTACAAGTGTCCTGTGCAGTACCCAAAGGGCATAGTTCAGAGAGCAACAGTACAGCCGAACATGTGGAGGTTCCTGGAAGGTCAGGTACCCAGAGAAAGCACGGAAGCTCTGCACCTCTTCCTCCATACCTCAACCTACCTATCTCTTCATCTGTGTTCTTTGTGTAATAACCTGTGCTTGTGGTACACGTGTTTTCCTGGGTTCTGTGAGCTGCTCAAGCAAAGTAATCAAACCCAAGGGAGGGGTTGTGGGAACTAGGGTTTATAACCAGTTGGTTGGAAGCACAGGTAGAACAACCTGTGGCCTTGGATTGGCATCTAAAGTGTGTGTGCTGGGGGCTGGAGGAACAGTCTTAAGGACGCCCTCAATCTGTGGGATCCGATGCCATGTCAGAATTGAACTGTGTCAGAGAACACCTGGCTGGTGTCCATTGTAGAATTGCTTGCTTGCTTGCGGGAAAGAATCCACACACAGTTTGAAGTCACGGAAGTGATCTGTGTTGTGCATGTTCAGTAGGAGAAACAGTGTGAGTTTGAGTCTGTTGTTTTTACTAACTCCAGGGGTGAGTGGTGGAGGGCTGTGACTAGGAGATGGATCTTTGCCCCACTTGGGGAACTTTTCACGAACCAGAAATGTTAATGGGCTGGAGGAGTGAGTGTCTCCTCGCTACTAGAGGCAGCGAACCATGGGCTACAATGTCAGGGTCGTGGTAGAGAAGATCCAGGCAGGGACCACATGCCTTGCAGCTCTCTTCGGAGCCTAACTGTTCAGTCCTGTGAGCAGAAATATTTAGGATCCCTAAGATCTCTGGAGGCCAAAAAAATGGCAAGAAATTTGGAAAAGCACCATCTTTCATTAACTTAATCTTTACTGAATTTTACATCTCTTCCCTCACTGCTTCATTTTTGAAGGCATCTCACACAATCCCTGGCCTTGTACAATCTTTTATCAAATACGGTGGCCCCTCCCACTTTCTCCTCGCCTTTGACACCCTCTGATATGGGTGACTGTTTCTCCTCCTTGTATGGCATGGTGCCAAACAATTTTATTTGCATCCTTGGCTGTGTTTTAGAAGCTTCTGTCTTTTCTTTGGTGGTGTAGCATTACACCTTCAAAATGTTACTACAGTGAAAATAGTGCTCAGATCTTGACTGTTTCTCCTTCTCCTTCTCCTCCTTCTCCTTCTCCTTCTCTTTCTCCTCCTTCTCCTCCTCCTCCTCTTCCTCTTCTTCCTCCTCTTCTTCCTCTTCCTCCTCTTCCTCCTTCTTCTTCTTCCTCCTCCTCCTCCTCTTCCTCCACTTCCTCCTCCCCCTCTTTCTTCTTCTCCTTCTTTTTCTTCTTCTCTGGTTCTTTGAAACATCCATTTTGTATTTCAGGCTGGCCTTGAGCTTGCAGTGATCTTCCTGCCTCAGCCTCCCAAGTGCTGGGATCACAGGCCTGCACCACCATGCCTGGCCTCTCCATTTTTGTTCTGAGCCATAGTGTCTTTGACTACTTCATGGAAATTTTCTACTTCATTTTCATTGTCATTTCTAACTTTTTACCTAAAATAAACTTATATTTCTCACTCATGAAGTTTGAGGGGGGTGTACCTCCTGTGTCCTTAGTGAAGACGCCTGACTTTCTCTGTCCTTGAGGTGCATAACCTAGCCACTGTTCAGGGGTAATTATTATTAGCATCTCCTTTTATTTTTCAGTGAGTCCCAGTAGATCATGTAGTCCAGTTATATTCAGCATAATGAGATTTTGGCCAACTATTGGTTACATACCTGGGCTGCAATATTATACAGAAACTGAAAAATTCCTATCACCTATTGAGGTTTTAACCATCACATTTAGTAGCCTAACACATTACTCATGTGTTTGTACTAATGCTGGTACAAACAAACCTACGGTGCTGCTAGTTGTATAAAAGTGTATACAATTATGTGCAGTATGTAATACTTGATAATCAATGACTATGTTGCTGGCTATATACTTGTACTATACTTTTTGTCTCTCTTTTTATTTATTTATTTATTTTTTGGGTGTATATATGGTACTAGGGATTAAACTCAGAACCTTTGGATTGAGCTCATTCCCAGCCCCTTATTCTATTTTATTTTTTAAATTTCAAGACATAGTCTTCCTAGGTCACTAAGTTGCCCAGGCTGGGCTCAAACTTGTGTGATTTTCCTGCCTCAGCCTTCCAGAGTGTTGGAATTACAGGCATGTGCCATAATGCTGGGAATTACCATTGTTTAAGAGTGTATGCCTTCTACTTACTAAGAAACAGTTACTGTAAATCAGTCTCTGTGTTTTGCTGACAGCAGCCTCACATGTTGTGTTTACTGTGTCTCTTGATTACATCATTTTCTCTTGGGATTGACTCAATCTCCCATTGTTTCATTCATCATGGCCCTAGAAACAACAGGCTAGTCATCTATCATCTATGTCTGTCTATCACCTCTCTTCAAATAGCCTGTGTGTACCATTAGAGGCGGATAAATACCTAATATGATGGTTGCCCTGTGTGAATTGCTTAATGAGGCATTTCTCAGAGTGTATCCTCCTTGTTAAGCCACACATGACTGTATTTTGACTATCTGTGTTCTTTGTGGCTCTTACCGGGTGACAAGCTCTAACACTTAGTAGGAATTTGCTAACTATCTGGTGAATGAGTGAAGCTCTCGGTAGAACTAGGAGCCTTCTATGAAGCAGTGACTGGTGACCAGAGCTGTCATCAAGCCACACCGGGCTTCCTTATCTCTGAGCAGAGAGACCACTCTGTCTCCAGCCTTTAAGTGTGAGCTGATGGGAATCTAGCCTTGGCTTCAGCAGGCCCAGAGTAAGTTCGCATCCTTTGCTAGGAACCCGCGATGGGGACGCAGAGTGGACTGTATTGCCACACCACCCTCTTGTGGCTGTTATGGGGAACTCATCTTGGGCACCGAGTTTTTTAAAAAGCCATTCAGATAATTCCAGTATTTAGCGAATCTTGAGAATACTGGTAGGCTGAGGGGCCACATGATCATTTTCAATACATGACTTTTGATAGATCTATTTTTTGGTATATAGAACTATATGTTTCTATTCAAAGCTGATTAGAGCACCGGCATACTTCTGGACAGTGGTTCATAACTGGGGAACATTCGCCCACCAGGGAGCATTTGGCAATATTTGGAGACGTTTTTAATTTCAATGTGGGGGCTCGAAAATAGGTTTCTATACATGTCAGGCAAGTGCCCTGCCACTGAGCTACACTGTCAGTCCCTGGAGACGCTTTGCTTGTCATGATCAAGGGCTGGGGCTGTGACATCTAGTGAATAGAGGTCAAGGATGTTGCTTCCCATCCCCCAATGCAGAGAACAGCCCATCATGACAAAAAACTATCCAGCCCCAAATGTCAGTGGCATCACAGTTGAGAAACCCAGCTCTAGATTTCTCCACATGGGGAATTTGGGGAAGTTCAGTGCAGGGGATTACTCCGGCAATGACAGAAATCAAACAAACCCAGTTCTCTGCTCTGTGAAGGGAGCGGTTCCTGAGTTTCCGTGAAGGGGGCCCTGAGCTAGTCCTTCCCCTCCACCGGCCTCCTCACTCCCCAGGCAGGGGAAGGACTATCTTACAGCTCATCCAATCCATGTGGTCATCTTCGGTGCTCATACCTGAGGCTGTGGATACCCAGGCCATGAAACATGCCCAGCTTGGCATATACCATGGTATAAATCCTCTAGGAAGCACAGGAGTGTAATTTCCTTGGTAGACTGGTAACATTTATTCTTTTCTTCCTTTTTTGGGGGGTGGCTAGAATTGAACTCAGGACCTTGCACTTGCCAGGCAGGTGCCATGCTGCTGAGCTATACCCCTGGCCCCATTTCTAGAGTAGAAACATAAACTTCAGAAGGAGATTAAGCTCCCAGTGGCTTCCCTGCCACTGTGCCAACCCAGTTTGTTTCCTGCCAACACACGTGTCTTGCAACTATCAGGTGCCACCTGTGTGACTCCTAAGGAAACCCGGGCCTCCTTCCAGCAGTGTATTTTGCAACGCCGATTCCTTCAAACTGAGATGGGTCTGTCGCTCATGACTTCTCCATAGAGTTGATATGCTTGGTCAAAAGAAAACATTACAGGAGACAGACGAGGAAACCTGACTCCAGCTCTCAGCATTGTTCTTTCAGCCGGAGGTGAAGGCTAGCTCTGGCTCCCCAGGGTGCCATGTGGGAAGATGCCAGTGGCAAGGGCACTGCTGGGAGGGGCTCTCTCCTTCCCCCAACAACCCGGGGCCCTGGACTGGCAGAGTGTAACGTCAAGTATTGTAGGATGAGCGGTGTAAAAGATCCCCTCTGAAACATAGCCTCTCTCTCCAGTCAGGTCTGGAACCTAGGGAGTCAGGAAATGTGGAAGGACAGCCTCTCCTTTTCCTTTGTTTCTGCCTTTTCATCAGGTGTAAGTTAGCCACAAGAAAAACCCAAGTGTTGGAAGCTATGCCTCTAGAACAGAATAGACAGCTGCCGGGTATGCTAGCTTATAACTTTAATTTTAGTTCTCTGGAAGGCTGAGGCAGGAGGATCAAGGGTTTGAGGCCACCCTGGGCAATTTAGCAAGACTCTGTCTTGAAATTTTAAAAGGCTGGCGATGTAGTTCAGTGCAAGGGCCTTAGGTTCAGTCCCCAGTACCGAAAAAAGTATATATACATATATATATAATAATTTATATGATGAGCCTAAGGTTATACAAGGATGATATAGTGGGATATTATTCTTATTTTTAATTAGTTTTTGCCTGTCCAGCATCTGAGCATTGCTTCTTCTAATTCCTTAATTCATAAAAGGGGGAGCCCACCAGCCAATATGAGAGCAAAAATGCCACATATCCACTTTTTGGCCTTCCTAGGAGGTAGGACATGGGTGGCGACACAGCGGCAGTGACACAGAATTTCCAAGTCCAGTAGCAGCAGTGAGGCAGCAGTAGAGTCCAGGCCTAGCACTGTGAACAGTGCCATGAACTTGTGGGGCCCATGATCCTCATCCCGGGGCTGAGTTTGCAATTAGTGGTCCTACTGGCAATCCATTCTTTCTTTTTCCTGTTCACTTGCAAACCATAATTATGCAGAATCTCCTAGCACTTATTTGAGCCAATTGATATCTTTTCAATAGATTCCTTGTCTACATTAGAAAAAAATCCAATGTCAGTTTCTATTGATTGCAACTAAGAACTATTTCAGAATTTGGTACCAGAATATGAGATCCTTGGAGCAACAGCACCTAAAATGTGAATTGATCCAATAGTGGAGGTAAGAGATAAAGACATACAGCCTCAGAAGTCTGAGCCGGGGCTCTGGGGCTCCTTGTTATACAATGGTATGGTAGTTACTTATTTCTTAAAGTATTTACCAAAGTTAGGCAAGAATTAGTAAGAGAAAGAAGAGCTAAAAATTGAAAGACTACCTATCTAAAAGCAGAATTTAGGAAGAAAATGGGACTGTATTACAAACGTTCTTTTGGTCTCTATCCTGTAGTCTAAGTAACTGAAGCATACAATCATTTGAAACTGTTGGATCAAAATAATTTAATTATCTGCTTGAAGATAAATTTAATATAAGGAGAGATATTCAGGGAGTAGGAGGTACTTTGCATAGACTGACTTGAGATTCCACATAAAGCCTGAGATGTAAAATGGGCTCAAAGTCGGGTGGAAAGTGTCTACCTCTAGGCTCACCACTCAGAGTAAACAGAGAACTAAGATTTAAAAGTCATCCTGGGAAGTGAAAAATCTCCCGAGGGACAAGTACCTCTGAGAATCCCAAGTTACTGTGTAACAGCATAACCCAACACTGGCCACTTTCCTTTATAATTGAATGCTATTTCTGTAGAACTGTACCTTAAAATCTTAGATGGTTTCCATCCTATTGCGCAAAGCTCAGAGACCTTAAAAAAATCATTCTTTAAGTTTACCATTTTTTACTTACTTCCTGCAAATAAAATATTCATTCTTTTATAGAATTATCCCTGAGTGTTTTACATATATAAAATAAAAACTTCACCCTTCATTCACTCTTCATTCAAAGACAGAGAGAGAAGCTGAGGCACAAAGCCTCAGTCAGGTCTGCAGGTTGTGAGGATCAGGTCTCAGACTAAAGTATAGACAGCCAAAATGTAAACTGCTCCAGACTTTGTGGCTGGTGGTCAGCCATCTGCGAGAGATGTTAGATGTTCTGGTTCCCATCTTTGACTTGTGTTGTCCATACTAGCAAAGAGCGAGCTGTCCGGAAGTCTGCTCTCACATCCTCCATTTCGTCTTCTACATCACAAAGATGAACAGCTGTATCAAGGAGCTCTCTGTTCTGTGCCCATGCCAGCTTCAGAGCAGGCTAAACACTTGGGAACCACCCTTGCCATGTCCGTTTCCCAGCGTGCATGGTGATACATCAACGGAGAGCTGATCCAACAAAGGGTTCAGATGTGCGGAGTATCTGTCTGAGAAGACCTGGGGCCTGTGGCCACATTCAGTGTTCAGTTTGTTTTTGCATGTTCAGAAAGTCCCTTCACTGGGTTTGGGTGTCAGCTCTCTGGAAGCGTCACACTGGCATAGACTGTGATGGGATTGGGTTCCTGTGGACAAAGCAGAAGTCATGAGCAAAGAGATGGGGCACCAGCTGTACAGGCTGTGCATAGAATCAGCACTGCTTAGGAAAAGGAGAGCTCTGTGATTATGTAGTATGACAACTTGCTGAGGGTCTGTCACAGACAGGGTATTGCCACAGTGAGGGGCCCAGACTGCTCCTTGCCCTCAAACAGAGCTGCAGCTCCCTTCCAGCATTAGCGTGGATTTCAGGAGCCCAGACACACAAGTGCAGTGCTCTGAAGACCTGCGCTCAGTACCTGCTACCTCTGTATCTCTGTTCCCTCCCCTCCTCTCCCCTTCCCTCCCCTCCCCTTCCCTCCACTCCCCTCCTCTTCTCTTCCCTTCCTTTCCCTTCTCTTGTAAGAACAACTATTTACAGGTAAGAAACCAAGAATTAAATTTTTGAGCTTTAGAAAGGGCTAGAAACACCCAAGGAAAGAGGAGAGAAGTGGGACCAGCAGGAGAGAGGGAGGGAAGGGAGAAGAGAATGATGGGCCTCGACCTCCCATAGCCTGAGGAGAGTCAGAGAATGAAAGAGAAGGGAATAGGCAATTCAGAAGGTTTTGCTGTACATACAGTTTTCCTTCCCCAAAGGAACTTTATTTTTAAAAATCTATGTTTTTAAAAAGTCTTTCAAGTCAGATTTCTATTTTTATTTCCATCTTGGATAGGATAATGTACTGAGCATAGATGTCAAGATGAAGGTCTAAGCCCAACATGGTGGTGCATGCCTATAATCCTAGCACTGAAGGAGGCTGAGACAGGAGGATTGCAAGTTTGAGTTCTGCCTAGGCAATTTATCTTGCCTCAGAAAAGGGAGAGCATGTAGCTCATTGGTGGAGCACCCCTGGAAAAGGAGGGGGCATCTATTTGAAACAGAACACTGGCTCAGGCATATCTGGGTATACATGCAGGAGGAGCCTTGAAGAAGGGCAAATGTAGGCATTTTGTAGCCCTTCTTCTTTGTAATCCCGGCTGTCTCCTAGAATTCCACGTTTAACAGAGTCCAACTGGAGCCAAAACTCAAGCCCAGAATTTGTTTGTGTTCATTTAGTGCAGGAAAGATTCCTGTCAGAAATAAACACAGCCGTCTACAGCCATACCACCCTGAATGCGCCCGATCTTGTCTGATCTCGGAAGCTAAGCAGGGTCGGCCCTGGTTAGTACTTGGATGGGAGAAATAAACACAGCCTAGGCCGACCTTGCAGTGGGTCAGAAGAGGCAAGCCTCATTCTCGGGGGCAGATCGTGTTCTTATCTAGCTTACCACCTCCGCTGAGCTCCTCTGTGTATTCTGACAGAATGCAGCTATCAATGTCTAGGCATGAGCATCTTGTATGATTATAGAACAGTGTTTGAAATTATTTTTTATTCACACCTAATAATGGTACCTAGGAATGGGCTACAGGGGGATATTTCAACACAGGGCATGAGCATCTTTACAAAGCTCTCTGGGAATTCTGTTTTGCAGGTGGAGTTAAGAACCCCTGCATTCAAACTGCAGCCCCCTCACTTAAGCGTACACCAGAATCACCTGGCTTCTGTTCTGATTTAACAGAGTCCTGGATGGGAGGCCCAGGGACTCTTTGTTTTTAATCAGTGCCAGCTGATTCTAACATAGTCTTTGGATAACCAGAGAAACACCAGGCAGTAGGGAGTAGACACAGCTCATTCCATGTGAGCAGGATGTGGGACTCCAAGGAAGCCCAAAAAGCAAGGCCACAATTATTCCTAACTGCCTATTTGCTGTGGGCTAACTTTCCAATCCAGAACTCAACAATCTGTTTCATTTCAACTCTACCAAGAAGAAAAAAAACTCCCTTGTCCTCTGCTCCTCCACCTACTCCCTCTTTAAACTGTTCCCCCTCCACAGTGAGGGGCACAGATGCCTCACCGGGGCAGACTCTGGAGCAGGCTCTGTGGCAGCCACGTAAATGGTGGTACAGGGGTCCTGAGTTGGCTGGGGGTCAGGTTCCTTCTGAAGAGGCTGCAAGAGAAGTAAAGAAAGCAGATTAGCTGAGCAGTCGTACTCGTACAATTTTCCCCGCGGAGAAAGACAGATTCAAGATGTTCAAGTGTAAGAGCTCCTTGGAGTTATTTGGTCCAACCCTTCTTCCCTAGTGGGACTTGTCCCCTAACTTCCCCAGAACTCGGTTCTCCAGACTTTGCTTGGACGCCACAAGTGACACTGCCAAACTCACAACCTCCAAAGACAGCCGCATTCATTGTTAGCACTTCGCAGGTGTTTTAGAGATCTGCCTTGCAGTGAACTGGTGTGGCTCTTACAGGGTCCATGGGAAGGGGCCAAGGTCTTAGGAGAACTTCGTCAGGCTCACTCATGCCACCTGGCACAGCAGCATTTGTTGAATCCCATGCTACTGTCCCTGCTGCCCCTCAGCCTGACAAATGTCCCCCCATTGACCTCACAACCACTCTATGTGTCAAACATCATCATTACTTACATTTGACAATGAAGAACCTCACGCTCAAAAGTTTAAGTACTTTCTTAGTGTACATATGCATGAAGTGTCAAGGCCAAGAGGGCCACCAGGGGCTTTTAACTTAAAGCATATGCCCTTTCTATGATCAGCCTTCTCTGGTTATCTTATTTTATATCCTTCACCTAAATTTCTCAGGTATTTAAAGCCTAATTCATGCATCATGGCAACTGAATGCTATATTTAAAACACTGGTATATCTGTCTATTATTTCCCCAAACAGTTGTAAGTTCCTTAAGAAATAACCTATGCAGTTGGGCATAATTCCAGCTATTTGGGAGGCTGAGACAGGTAGAATGCAAGCTGGTGGGTAGCCTAGGCAACTTAGTGACATCCTGTCTCAAAACAAATATAAATAAGTCAACTTTGAAAAGTCTGGGGATGTAGCTTAGCACTCCCTAGGTTCAACTCAGTACTGAGGAGCGGGCAGAAGAAAAAAAAAAGAAACAGTCTATGTTTCTTTATATTCTCCCACAAAAGAGTGCTGGGCACAAAAAGCACCTTCAATTGATACTTGCTGATATTGCTGTGAGTGAATTAAAGTCTATAATATTAAGACAAGCTAGTGGAGGGGTAAATTGAGATACTATCCCCATGAGATGAGAATGGCATAACTTATGATAAAGACATCCTCACCCAACACACTTTGGGGACAGTGGTCTGACTTAGTACTGCTGCTGTTTTCTCCAAATATATGAAACCACAGTACATGTGTTTAATGGGAGTGCATCTTCTCATCAAATAAAAAATTAAAGAACTGGAAAAATTTACTGGACACATTCTTCCTTTTCATATATTTGATGGATCGCCATATAGAAGAGAAAATTGTCAGTAGAGCCTTTCTGGTGCGAGCCAGGATTACAATTGGGGGAAGTATTTTTTTCAACAGAGTGAGGATCTTTCTAACAGTAAAATATGCTCATGTGTGAGATGAATTGCCTTGGGAAAGAGTGTGTTCCTCATTCCTGGAAATGCTTGGGCCTGGGATACCCCAGGGCTTCTCACACTGTTTCTGTATATATGAATTACTGTGGGATCTTCTTCCAGTTAGAAGGCTGATTCTTTTCTGAATAATTATGTATATTATTTTAGTCTTTATAATGATATAATATAGGCACTACAAATAGCAAAGGAAATTTTAAGGATATGGCTAAGTCTATGTACATACTGATATCTAAAACAGTAGTGACTATGTCTTATATGTTTAAAATATATATGAAATCAAGGTAGTGATCAAAAATAGCACATAAACCAGGAGGTAAATCACAGTGGAGTTAAAATTTATAGTGCAATATAAATAGTCTAAATAATAAATGCCAGTGAGTCAGGAATGCATTTTGTCATTTTGAGAGTAGCAGCTCACAAAACAGAAAAACATAATTACTAATGTAATGGAGGAGAAAATGGAATAATAAAAATACAGTTTAAAAAAATCCTCCACTAAGGCAAGTCCAGTCTCAGAGACCACCATCAGTAATTCTGCCAAATAGTTAAGAACAATAAATCAATCTTATGCAAATATTTCTAGAATATCACAAGAAGAAAAAAGTACCATGTAGTGAGCTGAGTTGTGGCCCGCAAAAGATATATCTGCCCAGAGTCTCCGAACATGACTTTTTTGGGATAAAAGGTTTTGTGGATGTAATTAAAGTAAGAATTTCAGAATGAAGTCATCCTAGGTTAGGATGTGTCCTAGATGCAGTGATGAATGTCTGTCTAAGAGGTGGAGAAGGAGAAGACACAGAGACACAGAGGAGGAAAGTCCCGTGAAGATAAAGGAGGAGATTACAGTACCACAGCAGCAGAGCAAAAGATACCAAAAATTGCCTGAAGCTACCAGATGACAAAAAGTGAAAAGATCTCTCTCTAAGAATGTGCCTAAAGGGTATCTCCTGCAACTTGTCACCTTGATTTGGATTTCTGGCCTCCAGAACTGTTAGAGGATAAATTCTGTTGTTACGAGCCACGTGTTTATAATGATTTGTTATGACAGCCTTGGGAAGCTAACATACATTTTAATTTTGTGAGGTTAATGTAAGGCAAACTGCACAAAGGCATTATAAAAAGGAGAGCTGTAGGTCAATTCCACTTGGAATAGTAAGTAGAAAAAAACTAACAGAATTAGGAAGCAAGCTCCAGCAATGTATTTCAAGGATCAGCCTAAAATTCTATTTCAGGAGTGCAGAGTGGGCTTGACTTTTACAAATCAGCATAGTTCAGTAGAGTAGCTGATAGGTGAGAAATAACAACCATAAGGTTATCTCAACAGATGCAGAATTCAGCATTGATAGAATTCAACATCAGTTCATGATAAAATGTAATCCAGTAATAGAAATCCTTTTTTTTTTCTGTGCTGGAATTGAACCCAGGGCCTCATACATGCTAGCAGGGGCTCTACCACTGAAGTACACCCAGCCTCCAACAATATTCCTAATGTAGTTGATAAAAAAGGCAATTACAAAAAACCTTTGACAAAAATCATACTTGATAGTGAGAAACTGAGACCTTTCCTTTCAGGTTTGGAACTTTACAAGGATGTCACTGTTACCTCTTCCATTTACCATGGTGTGGGACATCTTAGCCAGTAAAATTAGGGCAACAGAAAACAAGAATTCTGTGATTTATAAATGAAGAATTGAAACTATTGGTTTTTATGGGTGATAGCATTGTGCACAGAGAAAATCCCAGTCATCTATAGATAAATGACTAAGCTTACAAATATGTTTAGCAATGTTGCAGATACAAGTCAAATATACAAAAATTAATTGTATTTTTATATGTCAATAACAAAGACTGAGAAACTAAAGTTTGAAAAAGGTAACATTGATGATAGTATTCCAAAATATCAAATGCCAAGTAATAAATTATAAGAGATGTAAAGTCCTATTATTCAGGAAACATCATTTAGAGAAATCAAAGATGATTTAAAGGAAGGAAGGAAAATGTTAACTTTTGGAATTTAAAGACTCAATTCAATAAAGATGTATATTTTCCTTGAATTTATCTATACAGCCCTAATTAAAATTCTAACAGTATTTGGCAAGGGAGGTTCTATAAGCTGATTTTAAAAGATATATGAAAATGCAGAGGACTGGACAGTCAAAAACTCTTGAAGAAAAAGAATAAGTGGGAAAACTCATTTCATCAGACATCAAAATTTATAGTAAACTTATAAGTAAGACAGTATGACATTAGGGGCTGGGGATTTAGCTCAGTGGCAAAAGCGCCTGCCTGGCAAGCGCAAGGTCGTGAGTTCGGTTCCCGGTACCGGAGAAAAACCCAAAAAAAAAAAAAAAAAAAAAAGACAGTATGACATTGGTGAATGTATAAACAAATGTCTAAGGAGCAGAATAAAGACCATCCAAACAGAATACACATATGTGGACCTAGAGTTCTGATAAAGATGCTGCTGCAGTTAAGAACAAACTCTTCAGTAGTGGTCAATAGATTATCCACATAGGAAAAAAATAAAACCTCACCCCGCTAAACCAAACTCCCCAAACAATTTTCAGGTAATAGATATAAATATGAAAGATATGCCCTAAAGCTTTTAGAAGGTAATAAAAGAATATTTTCATAAACTGGGAAAAGAGAAACATTTCTCAGATGGAAAAAGCTCACAAAAAGTGCTACCTATAAAAGAAAAGATCATTAAGTTGTTCTACACAAAAATTAAGAACTTTTATCTATAGATATCTATTTGAAAACTTTAAAAACTTGCAAAGTCAAGCCACAGATGCCACAGATGCAGCAGATCATATCCAAAATACGAACTCATCTATCATCATCTGTCTAGATATTCAACGAGCTCATACCCAAAATACATAAAAAGCTTACATGAATCCTTTTTTAAAAAAGCCTAAACTCAAAGGTAAACTGGCAAACGATTTAATAGGCACTTTAAGAAAGATGATTTTAATATGGTCAATAAATATATAAAAGTTGCTTAACTTCCTTAATGATTTGAGAAATGTAAAATAAAGCCATAATAAGACACATCCAACAATAAAATTTAAAAAACTGATAATACCAAGTTTTGGCTAGTATGGGTAGCAATTGAACTTCATTTATAGAAATGGAGATTGATACACCCACTTTGAAGAACAATTTGGTCTTATGCATTCAATTTGAGCATACGCATACTCTGTCATTCAACAATTCTCCTGCTAGGTATAAGCCCAACAAAAATGTGTGCAAATCCATCGGAAGACATGCATATGAATGCTTATAGTTGTAATTTCATGATGGCCTCAAGCTGAAAATAATCCAAATGCCCACTGATAATCAATGGGGGTTAAAAAAAACCCTCTGGTGTATGTACACATTGATATTCTATGAAGCAATAAAAATAAATGTGTTCATATCTATTCTAAAGACATGTATGAATCTTGTGAAATTGAGAAAGAAACTAGTCACTTTTATACAATAAAATAAAGCTAAGCTATATTTCTAGAAGGAAAATTTGATATCTTTGGGGAGAACGATGGGAATAGTGATGGGGGGGGGTCTCCTGGGGTTGCTGGCAATGTTCCATTCCTTAATCTGGGTGGTGGTTCTATGACATCAAAGACTCAGTAGTGATTCAGTACTGAAAGATGTCATTTCTTTGTAAATATGGGTAGACTCAATGCAATGGGATAAATTTTTCTTTGTTTAGCTCTTGAGAAGCTGATTTTTAAATACCTATGAAAATTTAAAAGGATAAGAATAGCCAAAAACTTTTGAAGAAAAACAAGATGGGAAGACTTGCTTTACCATGATGGGCACCTAAAGATAATTCACTCAGTGGATGCTGATGCATTGTGTGTGTGTGTGTGTTTTTTCATGTAGTAGTAAAAAAGAGGAATGCTAATGCTAGCAGCAAGGCAGGGAAGACACTCTGGTAAAGGTGAGCCTCATCTAAATGTATAATGCAAGAGGTGAAGGGGATTTCTTTTTGTTTAAATGGAAGTTTATTCTAACAAGGGACCACAAGTTGTACAATAAACCCTCCAGAGCATAGAAGAGAACAGAAATAAGAGCTTTCCCTAGTACTTCATTTCCTAATCTTCAGAAGTGAATGGATTGGCATGTGATGAAATTTTCCAAAATACTAATCAAATCTATCTTTATTTTCATATTATTTAACCCAAAATCTGCCCCTGCTACTCCAAATGGCCAGATTATGGCTACCTAGAATTAACTTCAGGTCTGGAAAACTACATCTCCATATCCAGCCACAATCCTTTTAGCATCCTCTCTCTTATTTCCAGCACACTCAACTCCAGCATGTCTGCAGTTTTTCATCATTCTCTGTAGTCCAGTGGCCACTCTACCGCTGTTTTCCTTTCTTCCAGCTCCTGGCTATGGATCATCTTCCACCTCAACCACACTCTAACCAGAATTCTCAAGGTCCTTCTTTCTTGTCACTTTTGCACTGTGCAAATGCCTGAGCTCTGATCCGGGTTACACAACACACAGTGGCTTTTCCAAGCCTTCCCCTCCTCCTTAAACCTGCACCATTTTCTCCTCTGGGAGAGTTTTGTAACATGGAACAGTATAATCCTAGAATGCCAGAGGTGGAAAGAGTCATGTGTCATAGATTTACAGCTTCCTCATATTTTCCCCATGAAGAAGCAGATGACCAGAAAATTACCAAGTGTTTCTTGTTCTGTCAAATAATATGATACTGGTTTAGTGACCTTTAGTAACACTCTTGTTCTTGGCTTCTGATTCCTTAATCTTATGTGCTCTCGAACCCATTGGAACCATGAATGTCAGAGGTGCAAGGCGAATAGGTCAGGAATCCTAAGGAAAGCAAGAGAGGCCTTTCCCGAGCAAAATATAGAACTTACACCTGATTTCTGGACTTGGGCATAGATAGTAAGGCTTTTTTCTTCCATCGCTGGCTGAAAACGTTTTGCTTTACCTAGGGAAAAGAAACCATAGCGGTTATCTCCCTCTGTGTGGGTCTGTTTGGTCTTATCCCCCACTGCATACCAACCTTCCCCCAACAGAGTTAGTTACTTGACTTCTGTTTCCCTGCCTGTGAAATACAATTTGAAATATCTGATTCCCAGGGATATTGTAATAATTAAATGAGTTATTGTTTGCAATGTGTAAATAACAGTGCCCAGGACATAGTATGTGTCGGGTGTTAGTCTCATTGATGTGTTAAATTATTTTAATCTCTATTGTTTTATGTGCATATCCAGTCTCCTAATAGGATTCCAGATTCTAAGTTTTTTGAGAGCAGGACTGATTATTTATATCTGTCTTGCATTCTCCAGCTGGTAGCATGCCACTTCACTCACAGCTTTCTTACTGCCCTATTTCTGGAGGACTTGGTGTGAATGTGTATGGGGTGGGGGTGATGGTATAGGAGGGATGATCCACCTGGGGCTGTGTGGAAAATAAAACTGCAATGTCATTCTATGGCTCTCCAGCTGGAAATTTTGCTCAAGGTCTTGGGCCTCTGTTAAGTAATAAATTGCCAAACATTTCAAGTTTTAGGCAATTTTAAAGTTTCCTTTTTAAATTATAAGACTAACTCATTCTCATTGCAAAAATTAAAATTGTAAAAAGATCTTAGGGTCTAATGAAAGGTTGTGGCCTTAGAATAAGGACATCTTCATTCTGTCATTAGCTATGTGACACTGCACAAATCAAGTCAAATCCATAACACACATGCACTCTCTCTCTCTCTCAATTTTTAGACAGGGTCTTGCTATGTATTCGAAGGTAGTCTTGACTCACTATATAGCCCCATCTGGCCTTGAATTCACTGTGATCCTCTTGCCTCAGCCACCCGAGTACTGAGATTATAGGTGTGCGCCACCATGCTTGGCCATGAGTTTCTTTTCTTACCACAGCTGACTAATGTTTTTGCAGCTCTTATCTGAAGCATAGAGTTGTCCTGTCACCATAACTTTAAGTACTTTAAACTTACTTTAAGTACTATTTCTAGATCCTCCCAGTGCAGCAATTTAAACATCACTGGTTTAACTCACCTACATCATCAGATTTGTCTATGTATGCAAGTACATATGTATGCATGTATGCATGCATGTGTCATCTATGGAAGTCATCATGTTCAGTGTTTCTGTGTATTGACTTTCCAGGCCCCACAACAATGCTACAAAGTAGCTGAGACTAAAGGCATGTGCCACCATGCCAGCCCAAAGCCCGTGTTATTAACCAGTAAGTATTCATCCTCAGATCCAGTTGCCAGAGTCCATTTGAAGATATTCAGAGGGAGGCTGGCTTCTGGAGATGATACCGTTAGAAGTTGCCAACAGATCTCTTAAGCAATGTTTTGTGAAGAGTATAGCAACTCAATGTAGATTTCACCATAGGTTTGAGGTGTGTGCCCCTGTCTTACAAAGAATAAATGGTGACGAGAATGAGGCTGGGTTTGTGTGATGGGGGAGGAGGTAAGGAACTGTGGTGGAGTACGGAGCACTGCTAGCCTCAAGATCAACTGTGTACTTAGCAGAAAGAGTATAGGTTAGAATCTCAGCACCTTTGCTATCCAGGCTAATGTGGGTGAACTAAACTCCGTTGTATCATCTCTGGTATCTCATTGTTTTCTTATAATAGAAGCCAAATGTGGTTGCCCCGCCCCCATACCCTTAGGGTAGAGACAGCCTTTCTCTCTGAATCACTCAGCCTTTCCCTATCTCTTCCTCTGTGAGCTCTTAGATGGAGGAAATGAGACAAAAGGCAGCTTGCTGTGATCTACATTTTCTTATGTAAGCAAAGCTAACATCACAGTGCTGAAGTAAGGTCTTTTCTAATATGTGGGTAACACTGATCTACTTGAAAATGAGATCAGCCATCAGTCTGGTGATAGGAATATTAAGTTCTTCCCTCAACGTGGGAAAGCCAGGCAGAGCATCTGCCCTAGTTTTGGGGAAGGAGATTTTGACTCCTGTGTGGGTTAGTTATAGTGTGGCCAAGGGGACCACATTGGCCTATGATAGTGAACCAGGGAAATTTGGAGGAAACGTCAGGACATATGCTGAGTACTTAAATCACAGGAGAATAACTGAACTTTACTGCTTTCAGTCTATTGTGGGAGACTCTGAGTTGGAGATCCAAGAATTCTCTGAATTCTCCTCCCTAGTGAGTACTGCTAAGCCTCTTGCCAGGATCCCTTCAGCATCCTGTACGTTTCTTTCCTGCAGTGCTGAACAGAAACTATCCGCATAATGTCTCCCATAGTAGATGTGTTTGGCTCACATCTCTGTTTCTCCCCACACCCTGATACAGCAGATGAAGACACATTGCATTAGATCTAATTGAGCAAGGTGCCAGAATATGCTTATTGAGTACTTTCCAAAGATGACCCCCGCAGAAACTTACAGTGGTGAGAACAAGTCTGTGCTTGTGGGGAAAGGTCCTCTGCTTACCACAGAAAGTCTAGTAAGAATCTCCTTATTGTCAGCCACCTACCTCTTCTTCTCCACAGTAGTATTACCACTTCGAGAATTAAGGTGAGAATTAAGATGACACCCACGAGGCCCCCTAAGAGCAGCCCAGAATACAATCCCCATTGTCTTCGTTCTGAAAAAAAAAAAAAAAAAATCAAAGGGTGATCTCAGAAGTGCTGTGAGTTTTAAAACATCCTACACAGCAGTGGGAAGACTGAGTCTTGTGTTCTGTTCTACATCCTCTCCCCAGGGAGACAATCATCCACATGGGTTTGGGGGTAGATTTGAGAACACCAAAGAGTCCTACACCTGTTCTCTTATCCTTAGCTTCACTCACTGAACTTGGCTTTCATATTCCAAGATTTATAAGATTTTTCTATGCATAGGCTTTATTTTCACTTCTACTACCACATCTTCTACATCAATGTCTCTGCCCTAATTTCTTTGTTTAAATTTCTAATGTTTCCTGAATTCATTTCTGGTAAAACACACATAAAGCTTCACGTGCTCTTGCCATTGTTCCACACAATTCTCATGGGACTGTAAGAGGAAGAAATCTGCTGTTCTTTTTTTTTAAAAAAAAAATCCCCCTGCCATTCTCATGAGACACTAGGAGGAAGAAATTGGCTTTTCTTTTTGTAAAAATAAACACAATGATGTTATTATGGTCCTTCCATGCAAATAACTATGTTGAACTCCCTGAACCGAAAGAAAAGCATGTAGTTTTTCCTCTCCATCATTGCCATGTTTAAAATTAGCTAGGCTCACCCAGGCTTAAAATCAGAAAGCCAGATTTTTTGGATTTTTCTCCTGTTTCCACTTCGCCAAATTCTTTTGAACCAGGAGCATCATTTTGGAAAAGAGGGACTAATATCTCTTGCCCCAGGAAATCAGATATACAGTTCAATAAGATAATAATAGGCAATTATTGAATGCTTGCAATAAGCCAGATGTTTGTGTTAGTGCACCTTGGGTACTGATGTATTTAATCCTCACAATAATCCTGTGAGGTAGATGTGTTGATTACTCGTTGGCAACAGACAGGTTAAAACACTCAGCAGCAGAACTCCTCAGTTGAAGCCAGTGTGCCCAGCTCCTACTGAGACAAAATAGTAAACTCATCAAACCTACACACGACAAAACCAAATCTTTGATGTAAGACCCATTCATCCCTCCCTATGAGCCCTGACCCATCTTCTTGGAAAGTTCATGTATACAGACCTTCTTATCTAAAGCTAAAAGGGCTTCTGTGAGATAGAGGAAATGGTCTTGTCAAATTGCAACTTTAAACATAACAGTTTAGACACATTACAGGTGCTCCTAGAAGACCTACAAGGCACTAGAAGATCCAGAGAAAGACATTCTTGAGATAATTACATTTGCTATCTAAACTCTTTTTCCATGTCCTCAAATCCATATAAAGACCTCAGTCTCTCATCTTGACTATGAGACTCCACTCTGGGTAACTTGCTGCTGTCCCTCTTGACAGTGTGCTCTGGTCTGAATGAACTGTTATCTTTACTCTTATTCTTGCCTGGGTAAATTATTTTACCACCTGAATCACCATCTCTACATATGCAGACTCACACAGCAGTAGGCACTTTCATCACTCCTATTTCATGGATGAGGAAGCAGGCCTGGACAACCTCAAAAACTAGAGCTTAGTCCAGGAGTAGAAACATGGGTGAGTTTTAAAGATAGGCTTCTTGGGAAGGCCAAGAGACTTAGGAGTTTGGAGCAAGTTATACCATAGTCATGAACAGTGAGGGACAACTAAAGCACGAGGGTTCTAGTTAATGGCACAAGAGTAACACCAGGTGTTCATTAATGTACAAGGGCAACTTATAATGTTGACTGAGGAATAAGCCAGCTTGTTGGTGAACCTGTAAGAGATATGTTGGGGGGAAACTGTAAGGAAGAAACAAAGGAATAATGCAGTTGCAGGCAAATCCAGCTGTTTATAAAACTGACTAAAAGACAGACTGAATTCTCATTGACAAAAGGCATGTCACCAAGGTCGACAGTGGGCCACCAGCCTGTCGTTTCCTTCTGGGTTTGAGACAATTCTTCTTCCTAGACTTCCCATACATCAAGTCAATCCAAGCAATCTCAGTGAACTGACTTTATGAACCCTTTGATTACAGATTCTCTTCCCTAAATTAAACACGTATTAACCCTGACAGATATCCTTTTCAATAGTCATATAATCTTGAGCAAAAAGTTGGGGGTGAGCAGAAAGTTCTAAAAAGATGCCTGACTGTGCATGAAAGATGGAATCCCCACTGTGGCTGGAGATGTCCTGTGAATTAACCCACTCTGAATGGCTGACAGTGGCTAAGAACCTCCACGCAGCAGGTGTGTGTGTGTGTGTGTGTGTGTGTGTGTGTGTGTGTGTGTCTGAGATAGAGTATAATCAGGCCAAGGCTTATGCTCTCTATAACAGGGACTCATGGAGAAGCTTCCCCAGTGCTAAGGTAAGAGGCAGAACCAGCAGCCTAGGAGCTGACGCAACAAGCTATAGTAGTGGTTCTTGCTAGGTCCAGACTATTTTCTCTTTCTTTTTCTATCATGTGCATTTTGGGAACTTTAGAATGAATAGTTAATTTGAGGACTGACACCTTAACCATTTATATAACTGAAAAGGGTAATATTTCTCCCAAATTTCACTTGAGTTCTAAAATAAGAGCAACAAATAAAGGGGTGCCTCTAAAATTGGGAAATAACAGATAACAAAACTGCATCAAGAATGTCCGCACCCAGTGTCAGCCTTTCTCCTCTCCCCTAGTTCCCGTTTCTGGCAGCTCCACCACCCATCAACTCATGTAAATCAAAAAGAGGCACATGACTGAGGCTGGAGGACAGGATAACACCAGCGTTGATATCACCCTCCTGAGATCCTGGAAAAGAAAGAGATTGGGAGGCTGATATCTATCTGCGATCCTTGTCCTAGGACGTAAATGACCAGCTTCTGCTAGGCTAGTCAGTTCCAAGAGACAGTCTGCCCATAATCTTGAAAGATATTTCACAAGCTGTAAGTTTTCTCCTGATCTTTGGATGTAAATATGAATCTACATGGGGAGATATAAGTTACACAACCTAAGGATTAAAAAATAAAACTTTGGGGGCTGGGGGTTTAGCTCAGCGGCACAGTGCCTGCCTGGCAAGCGCGACGTCGTGAGGTCAATTCCCGGTACCGGAAAAAAAACCAAAAACCAACCAAAACAAAACAAAACAAAGAACAAAACTTTGAAGGAACTACAGTGCTTATTTCACCCAACCCACTAATTTTATCTTCCAGAAAGAGACTCAGACAAATGTACCTAGTGTCTCAGCAAAAGTCCTTCTCTTGCAGCTCGTTCACTACTTGGTACACAACAGAGCCACAGTGAAATCTTGTTGATTGATTGGAAGGACAAGCAAATGGTTTTTATGTCAAGTCCAAATGAGTCTCTCCTGTGAGGCCCAGATGCTTCAGTCCCATCTCGTCCTTTGCTTATCATTTAATGTCTCTATCTGCATAGCAGGCCCAAGTATTCCCACATTTGGCCACTTGGTGCACTCATTTGGTGCTTTCTGTAACTATGATATTTAGGTGGAAACTAAATGCCAGAAACCTTGTGCCTTTAGGAATTCAAATAAACATGGATGAAATGCTGCTGTTCTAGCACGTCAGGGTCAAGCTGCCACGAGTTCTATAGTTTTGGGGATAATCTCCTTGTAGTCCACTAAGCCTTTGCTCCCGCATCTCCACTTCCTCTGCTCTGTGCTCTCTGGGGTGCAAGCTTCAGTTTCCTCATGGATTTCCACAAAACAGAAATGAAACACCTCACACCAGGGATTCTGGGGTTAAAGTCCTCCACTGAAGAGTTAAGGGTCACTAGGTATAGATTCCATTGTAACTGAGGCATATTACACCATCTGATAGGCTTGGATCTGCTCTTTTTCTTCCTGTTTCTGTATAAGCAGCGTTTCATCTCTTTTTTTTTTATTTTAAAGATAAAAGGAGGGAAACATTAACAGACATACAACATTTTACAACATCACAAGCACAGTACAGACAATACAGAGTTACAAACAAAGTGGTAGGGAATTAACAATGCTTGTTGTATTACATATTGATATCTTCAAAGTGGCTTCCCATGAAAACACATATAGACATGCAATACTGGTCAACCAAAGACTCATTGACAGTTTCTTTCAGCATAGAAATAGAAGACAGAAGAACAACCATGTTAACCATCCTGTATATACATACATACAAAATTTCTCCTTCTTTCCCTTCTCTTTTCCCACAAGCAACGTTTCATCTTTTCCTCGAACAGAACCATTGAATGCACATATTGATCCCTTAAATGGTCTCACTTTCAGCCTTCTAGCACTTATTATAGTACAAGCAATCCTAAATGAACACTGTTCCCTTCCAAAGAGGAAATCTAGTAGCAATTTCTTTAATATAATATTCTTCCATGTATGGTACAAAAGTCCTACTTTGACTAAAATTCCCTAGAGTTGCTCCAGTACTTTGTTCTTTATTTGTACCTGCATCCCATTCAATATAATATATGACAATGGGACATTTCATATACTCTTGATGAATTTAGATTAAATTAAATATGAAGCCATATGGATTTGGAAGAAGACTAATGTAAGCTTTTGTTAAGAATAATCAGAGTGCTAAATATAAGAAAGACTCAGAAAGATTGCAGGGTCACCTTCTGGATGCCCCAAAGCAAGAACCAAAGGGAAGGTGTGATGGCCTACTTGGCAGATGCTTTACAGTAACAAAATGGCGCCGGGAGGAAAGTCTGTCTGTGACCTCAACAAGTCACCTGTGTTCTCATTTTCAAACCAGAAACTCCAGCTTGCCCTCATTTTGCTCAGTCTTGTAATGAGGCCTTTAAAGATGGTGATTCTCTGAAATGGAACAAAAGCTCTCCTTGGGTCCACAAACTCTTTGCTCAGGAAGGAATACCACATGAATCTTCTTGAACCAGATGTCTGGGACTTTTCCCCTTGGAATTTCTTAGAGACAACTGGCTGAGAACTTCTTAGAGCAGACTGGCTGAGAACTGCTGTGACATCTGTGAAGAGTATTTTGCATGTTTCTTCACTGTTGGGAGTGGCTGAAGCTGGAAATTGGTCATATGAATGAGGGCAGAACAGAGCCAGAGTGTCTAAAGCAGTCAAGCTACCGCAGTATTGAGAAAAGTGTCCTGCCTGGACAATTCAGTCACTAGTCATTAGGCAACTTGAGGCTCATGATACTAACTTGGCAAATGTATAAATAAACACCACTACTATGAGGTCCTCTTACACATCAGGTATAGAGGTAGTCTCCACTCGACCCAGTTTTCGTCTCTTGTCTATCTTTTCCTCATTCTCACCGCTATTCCTCTCCAGGGTACACTGAGAGACCAAAGAGTCCTACACTCCACCTTGTGGTCCTCTCTTCTGTTCGCTGTGGTTTAAACCAGATAACTTTGCATGTAGCCACACTGCAAAGAAAAATGCCCAGAGACCCCCACCCACTTCCACCTCTTTTTGTCTCTGAAAATCTGTTGTCACAGAAACACAAAAGCTTCTCTCAAGTCTCCAAATCATATTTTTAAAGAAAGATAAAGAAGAAAACAAGAATCTGAGAAACAAATGTAGTTCACCCCAGGAGATATTGAGATGCTCACGTAACGGTCTGAGAGTACCGGATCTCTTTCCTGCCTTTCATGTGGTTCTGTCAACAAGGCTGGTGGTATGGAGCACATCTCCTTAAAGAAGCCAACTATCTTCAAAAGATACCATCTTGTTGGTGGAAGTTTCCATTCAGAATTGGGGGTGGAGAAAGGATGCTTACAAATCATGTAATAATTTAAGGACCAGGACCATCCGAGTAAACATTTTTATAGAATCTATCACTTCTATCTGGATTGGTGGCTCACACCTAGAATCCCAGTTACTTCGGAGGCTGAGGCAGGAGGATCACAAATTTGAGGCTAGCCTGGACAACTTAGTGAGACACTGTCTCAAAATACAATTAAACAAGAGAATTCACAGCTTCTGGAATAATCCCTGCCATCTGCCTATCTACTCAGATTGTATTTTAGAGGCTACAGTTTGTGCCCCCAGGTGCATTCTACTTTTATTTTCACAGTAATACAAGTTTTGTCCAAACACGGGGCTGCCTGGCTAAGGACTACATTTCCCAGCTTCCTTTGTAGCAAGTATGATCAAGGGGCCAAGCTCTCGATGAGAAGTGTCTGGGATCTTCTGTCTCCACTACCACCAGACTTGCTGGTTTGGAAAGATCATGGAGGGGGACTTGGCCCTTGGCATGGAACATCTAGGGGACACAGGAGGTTCTTGTTTTAGGAAGTGGCTTTGTTAGAAAAGAGGACCCTCTGGATCTCACCGGTAAGCATCAGCCTTTTTGTCCACTGAGCTAACTCAGACTTACTGAGCCAGCCTCTTGTCAATCTCCTGAAAAAGGTCTCCCTTTCAAGGTGAGCTTCCAGGGACTTTCCTTTTCACTGAATTATTTAAGAATTTACATCCACCATCTTAGCACAGACATAACTTTTGTACAGCATGGGTGAATAACAACAGCAGCAAATCACACACTGTCCACATCGACATATTTCACATGACCTGGACAGGATTTTGTAGCACCCAAGGATTTAGACTTTGCAATTAAAATACCTTGTTATGATGGATATTAAAACAACATCATAGCAATTGGAACAAGAAACAAGGATGAAAATATGACTGAGAGCCTGGACAAATACAACTTAAAAAATTTTTTCCTCAAAATATAAGTATTTTCTTGCATGGCTTCATTTAACTGAATCCTGTCAAAAGAATGCTCACATCACACCATATCCGGTCTCACTGCACTAGGAACAACTTTGAGATTTTCATTAATGAAAGTCAGACATGTCTTAAAATCACTGTGCTGAGTTCTTCGACAGCAATTTGTAATAAACCCTCAGATTCTGCCATTTCATCTCAAAGCTGGGATTTCCCTTTGTATACACCATGGAAAAAGTCTTTGTTAAACAAATAGTGAGTTGGCCCAGGCCTTATCATCTTCTGGTGGATTATTGCAGTAAGGCTCTCCCTTAACCAGTTTCCCTTTCTTCTGCCTCTTTCCTACTTGAGTGTATTCTCTATAGCACTTAATTTTCTCTTTGAAATGCAGCACTGATGGTGCTGCTCCTCTGTCTAAATCTCTATTAGCTCCCATCACCTACATGATAATACAAAACAAGAACTGGCTGTGCCTGCTTTTCTCTCTGCTTGGACTATCTTTTGTCAGCGTGGGTCATTTCTATTTATTCTTCAAAACCCAGTTTAAATCCCCTGTGATGCTCTCTCATTCCTTGACACAGCCCCAGCTATTCATTCTCTCCCCTTCGTTTTCTTGCCTGTACTTCTGCAGTGCACCTATCGCAGAACATGATCCATGATAATTATTTATTGATTGAACTATCTCCTTCCTTAAGGACAAGGATCTTCTTTTCATTCTTTATGTACTCAACACCTAGCACAATGTTGGAACATAGTAAACACCTCGACGAATATTTTGCCTAACTAAACATGTAGTTTACAGTACTATTCATTTGCAAACACAAATCAGTGTGCTAATATAAGTTTTTAGTAAGTTAGACAGCCTAGTGCAGTGGGAAGGGCATGTTACAAAACAGCTGTGTGATCTAGTTTAGATATGGAATGATCACCCATCTCTGGAGGTGGGAAATCTCTACTTGTGTAGCCTAAAATTCATATGTTGAAGTCCTTAGAATAGGTTAGGAACTGGAGCTGAGGATTTAGCTCAGTGGCACAGAGCCCACCTGGCAAGTGCAAGGTCATGAGTTCGATTCCCGGTACTGGCAAAAAACAAAAACAAAAAAAAGGAGATAGGGTCTGAAGGTAGGGTCTTTACAAGTTAAAACAAAGTAGGAAGGTTATAGTTTGAGGCCAGGCTGGACTGTATAGTGAGATCCTGTCTCAAAAAAATTTTTTTTAAAAAGGAAGGAAGGAGGGAAGGAGAGAAGGAAGGAAAAGAAGAGAAGAGAAAAAGAAAAGCTACCTTTTTGATGTTATTAATAATTTTTTTTTTTTTGAGATGATGTCTCACTCTGTTACTCAGGTTGGTCTTGAACTTGTGGGCTCAAGAGATCCTCCTGCCTCGGTCTGCCAAGTAGCTAGGATTACAGGCACATGCTACCACTCTCATCTTAAGTGCATTCTTTCTTCCACTGACACCTATGAGTATTCAGACATCCCGGCTCCATCCCTTGTTCTGTGTGTGACCTTACTTACCCTTTTTATAGTTTTGTTTCCACTCTGTAAAACGGGGATAGTAATACTATCTATATTTCTTGGCTGTGATGAGGACCCAATGAGATGCCACATAACAGGCACGCAGTAAATAAATAATACTCACTAGGCATTATTATTTATAGATGAAGAATCTAAGTCTTCAGAAAGGCTGAATGATTTATCCTTATAAGAAGAAAGGGCAGCATTGGATGTAGGCCTTCCAGGGCCACATTCTGTAAAGTTCCCACTGTATAACACTATTTTTTTTAGTCCTGAAAGCATGGCTGTGGGCAGGGACAGAGATCTGGATGGGAGGGTAGCCTGTGAATATGGTTTGCATGCAGGGTGGGCAAGCAGCCAGAAACATGGAGAAGGTGGAGAATGGCTGACCCTTGCCAGGGAGTCAGTGCCTGGGAAAGGTCTTTACGTTCGGTTCCCAGACGACCTCTCAGTACATACTGGGTAGCAGTATGAATTATTTCCCCAGGAATCCATCTGTAAATATTTCAGGGAAGCTTCTGGTACAGGAGGTGCACAGCTGAGGGCCTGACCTAGCTAAAAGTCCCCTTTATTCATTTCCGGTCATCAGGAAAAGCCTCTATACAGATACTAAGCCTACTATGATACATTCCCTGCTCAGCGGTGCAGAGAGGGAAGGTCAGGGCATAGGCAATGCATCGCAAGAACAGCACCTCTGCCAGGTTACAGAACCTTTGGTGAAAAAGGGGCAGTTCCTAAGTGTTTAGATTGGCTTATACAATCAGTGCCCTCTTCCAATAGAACAATGATACTTTATTCTTAGAAAAAGAAAAAAAAAATCAAGTCATAAGTGTGGGTGTAGGTGCTGATTCCACTATACACAAGATGAAGAAACTTGAGGAAAGTATTTAAGGGTTATGAACTTGAAATTCCTCATGTGTCAGGTGAGGCTGACGTTAACACCCAACAAGCTTACTGTGAGAGTCAAAAGAGATTATACGATTGAGAACCTTGCCAATAAGAAAGTACCATACAGCTTACTATTCTTGTCCAAATTTCACAGTCCAGATTTTAGTCCTACCCCTCTCTGACTCCCTTGGGCCTCTGACCTGCTATGAGGATTATTCTTCATTCCATAAAACCAGGTCCCTCATTATATTCTAGCTTTCAGTACTGAGCACATGTTTCACATCTTTGCTAAAGAACAGAGATCACATATCTTGTCTAACCCCAATTTCCTTCAGCATAGGTGATCAATAAATACTTATTGGTGGTGTAGAACTGCCCCACTATTAATGTAAAACTCCTGGATGTGGGAACCAGGACCTGCTACCTGCACTCCCTCACCCTTCCATCCCTGCAGGCCAGACCCAAAGCAGGAGGCAGGGAGGAAGGCGCACACCTTGGACATGGGAATTCTGGGTTCATCTTTTCCTATTCGTTTCCTCACTTGGGAACTAAGCATCAAATTCTGCGCTGGTCAACATGAGAGTGTGCTGCCCAAGCACATGAGCAGTTTTTGCAAACAATAAAGAAAATCTAAAGTTCTGTCAAGGTAAAGGCTTTGGCTGTGGTAGCAGAGCAACCGGCCCAGTTAGGGACTGAGCCATCCCCTTTTTCCTGTGGCAACCTAGCTGCCACCAGAGCACTCACCTGAGGGGTCTGACCTGCAGTTGCTCCACAGATTGAAGGCCTGGGAGCGGCTGCTAACAGAGTTGCTCGCGGTGCAGATGTAGAAGTTGTCAGCGTGCTGGGGGCCGAGGGTGAGGAAGAGCAGATGGGAGCTGTTGGGTGGGCTGGGCAGGGGGGTGCCGCCCTCCTCGCTCCAGTTGTAAGCCACGTGGTCCCCCTGCTTCACTGAGCAGGCTATCATCAAGCTGCAGGTCCCATTGTCATTCTCCTGGGTTTTGTTCAGCACTTGAATTTCTGGAGTGGAGACCTGCTCTGTCAGGAGAAAGAGGAGGGAGGGAGCCATCACTGAAACGAACCCCTCTGGAATTCTCACTTGACTTTTGTGTGCAAACAATACACAGGGCACTTTGCCTCCCTGGGAGCTTCAGTGTGATTCATCTCTGGTCGGGACTCTCGTTTCTCACTGTCCCTCGTTCACTACTACTCCTCTTCTAGGACTACACTGAGGTAAAATAGGGAAGATGACTTTGTTTTTAGCCCCCCTCTGCCAACACTGTTAGGACACCCCTCGCCCTTCCTGACGTTCCTGATCTAGGTTGTTCTCCATTAGTAGAGTTTGCCATTGACCAATGCCCTCCCCCCATTTTTTGCAGTAGTGAGATCAGACCCCATGAGTGCTAGGTAAGTACTCTACCACTTAGCTATATCTTCGGCCCAGTTTTAACTTTGAGACAGAATCTCACTAAGTTGCTCAAGCTGGTCTCAAACTTGAGATCCTCCTGCCTCAGTGTCCTGAGCAGATGGAATAACAGGCATGCACCACAGGTTCTGTCTGTCTCCCATGAGTGTTTGTTGGTTTCAGGTATAATCTTCTAGGCCTAATCACATGAGCTTTTACACACACTAGTGTGTGTGAGGTGTATGTATGTGAGATGTGGCAAGTATTTTTGTGTGTCTCAGGTAAGGATAGGTCCTACCAATCTACCCCACTCTCATGTCATGAAATAAACATGGAAAAGTCTTGTTTATTTACAACTAGTATAGGGTAACACAGTACTGGCATTTTATATCCATCCTCTTCTTTAATCACTAGGAATTATAACTCTAATTATAATTATTCCCATTTTATGGATGAATAAACTGAGTCCCAGAGAAGTGAGAAGTTTTACATAGTATTACACGGCTTCTAAATGGTCAAGCTGAGATGAGAACCTCAGCTTGTCTCATGCCAAAATCTAGCCCTTTTCTTTGACTTGAAAAGAAAGCCGTGGCTTCACAGATCACATTTTCCCACAGTAAGAATTTGATCATAAGATGTGGCAAAGGCAGGAAACTTATAGGCACAAAAGGAAAGAATACATGATCCGCACATTGTTTTGCAAAATGCATTGTATGTAGCCTCCATGCTGGAGGTAACTTCGCTTCAGGATTTCTCTTGCAGTGACCTGGTAGAGGGCCGTGGGAATTTTGCGTGCCGTTTGCAGGAAAGGGAACAATGCGGCAAAGAAGGGTATAGTTGTCCCTCCTCTAAAAATCTGATTTCAAAGAAATGTAGGTGGGGCTTCTGTCCCATTCTCAGATATAAGGAAGTTACTCTGAAGAAACAGGGAAGCCCCATGTGTGAGGTGAACCTCTGGGCCCAAGATATACAAGCTCTGGGGGCACTCAAAAGGGCTCAGCTGTTAAAAATGTTCAAAAAAGCCCTGTCCTTGGGTCCAGGTGGACCTAGATTCTGGCTAAAGTACTGCATGTAAGGGGAGCCTTCCTTTAAGTGAGGAAAAGAGTGCTTCTTAGACCCTGTAGGTGTGATCTGAGGTGAGGCCTCAGGGCTTGGGGAGTAATGTGTGGGTGGAATTTCAGCTCTCTCTACCCGGAACCCCTAGTGCGGTGAACCACCTACACAGACCTGTGTAAGCATGTGCAAGCCACCTCTGTCTGCATTTCATTATCCTTATCTATAAAAGAGAGGTTAGGTTTGACCAGTGGTATTCAAACATTTTAAAAAAACTAAGAAACCCTTTTTTTCCGCAAATAAAATCTTATTTGCAAACCAAAAGTGCTGGTGCTCCAGGTCCTCCAGCCCACAGGCAGTTGGGTCTGTTTCCTTTGGAAATGGGTAAGAGTAGCTAATGCTAATCAACTGCTACTAATGTGCAATTTGGAGGGAAAAAAATGGCAACCTCTCAAACCATTTCCATAAAGTATAGTGTAAATACTCCCTGGAGTTGATGATGCTTCAAGTTACTTCCAATTTTAAATATACATAGCTTCTGAGAGAGGCCTTAATTCTCAGACTAGAGACCATCGTGGCTCTTCAGGATGGGGTGGGGACGCTCACATTATTACCATAAAGCTTCAGCTGCACACAAAATAACTTGATATGTCCGTTTCCCTCCAGGTTCATGGAGTACCACCCCTCATGCTGCTTCTTGCTTCCCAGGATCACCAAGCTCAGGTTTTCCAGATGAAACTGATACCCATCCTCTATGTAATCTGATGAGCTCCCTTCATGTAGACTGAGAGACATTATTATCCTCCTGACGGAGTCTTCTGGAGATTTTGATATTGTGATAAGGATGCGGTTGCTTTTGTTCATGCTCTTGTTTATCTCTTCTGCCTTCTCTGTCAGAGGGAACGATATATCCCTTCCCAGTGGCCAGAAAGACTCTCGGCAGTTCTGGCTTCCACCTGTGGGAGGGAAGAGAAGAGAGTCCCTTACGATGGTGACTTTGGAAACCACATGGTGCTGTGGATCAGGAGTGGGAGTCTAAGGCTCTTGCCCTCCTCTATACTGTCCTGGGGATTGCCCGGTCCTAGTCGTCTGTGAGGACTGCCATGAGAGGCCCTACTATATCTTCAATATTTAAAAAATCCCAATGGAAACCTTAAAATTACTTAGAGTAAAGCTTCTAGACTAACTAGCACACTGGGTTTCTTTCAACTCAGATTTACAGTTAAGGCCTGTAAATCACCTATAAAGCAAATGAGTTCCCTAAAGTCATATTAGTAAGTAGCAGAGTCAGGACTAGACTCTAGGTCTATTAATTCCTCTACTGTTGTTGTTGCCACCATGGGAATATAGGATGTGCTCGCTTCGGTAGCACATATACTAAAATTGGAAATATAGGATGAAAGACAGAGAGCAACTGAAAATGACTGTGAGCTCATGTCCCGAGGGGAGCACAGTTACAGAAACACCACATATAGTGATGAGGAAAACAGAAAAGTCTGAGGGATGGAGTCCAGGAGATGGTGAGCAGACCTAGCTCTCCAAAAAAATCCCTGGCAGAATCAATAACATTGAAGGTGCAATATTATTATATTACTCTTTTTTAAAAAAGCAGAGCAAGAAACATACACATACTAAAAAGCAAAAACAGCAATAACAACAAAGAAACCAAACAAGAAACCTTTAAACAACTGTTAGGAATCCTACTGCTGATTATTTAACACCTCCTGTTGTCTCAAACCCACAATCTGCCTTTTTCACTCCTTAACTGATCAACTTCCTTTTTGTTTCAGTAAAAGGAGGAGAGGGAGAGGGAGAGGAAGGAGAAGAAGGAGGAGAGGAATTAGAAGGAGGAGGAGGGGAAGGAGGAGGAGAAGAAGAAGGAGGAGGAAGAGGAGGAGGAGAAGGAGAAGAAGGAGGAGAAGGAGAAGGAGGAGGAGGAGGAG